AGGCCCTCCATGTGTGTTTAAACTTAAACACATGCTTAAATACTTCATAGAAAGGGAGTAATCTCAACAGTTGGCAAGACTGAGCTTCAGAGATCCTTTAGACCTTTTCTTACCTAATTTGCACTTGCCCTAGCCCTGCCCCAGCCTCTTTGTTGCCTGGTGCCTTCTCCTTTCCAATTACCCATCCTTCTCATTTTCTGCCTCGCCTCCTCTCCTTACGCCTTTGCGTTTCCCACTAACAATGTAAGCCTGTGGTAACGGTCAGCGGTAATGGACATGTCTCTTTTTGTACTGCTAGAGGAGAGCCTGGTGAATTTTACAGCACACAGCCTTTTCTGGGTTCCAAGGCTGTGCAAAAGTTTATAGAATTAAATTCATGGCATGTGAAGACATTTGCAGAGTTCGATTCTGTGGGTAAATTTTGAACCCGTGAACTTCAAGTGAGTTGAAAATTTATTCAGAACACGTTCTCCCATCTCTAGCACAGACTGCATTTAATGTTATACACATCTGTTATTATTACAAACAAAAAGTTGCTGTTTTTACTCTAGTGCCAAATGAGGCACAAAAAAACAACAGCTGTTGCTATTGCACAACCAAACAACCCCCTTCCCCCCCGCAATTAGTCTTGCCTTAAAAAAATAGAAAATAAAAACCTCAGACATAAAATTGAAAACCTCATAAAAAAGAAGAAAAATCCCAGAAAATAAATAGACTCAAATGTGGTCTGCTTATAAATATTCATAGGGAAAAATGGGATCACATCACTTAGCCCACTCCTAAGGGAACCCTCAATGCTAACGAACTCTTGCAGCACATGTTAGCAATAATGGGTTTCCTTATTCTACAAGACAAAAACAGGATCTCGGGCCAACATGGTGGCTCAAGTAACCAGCCTCAGCAGGCTGCCTTGGAGATTCCAGTTTCACTTGAATTCTTGCCACTTCCAGCTCGACTGATGATTTCAACTCTTTTATTGAAATGGAGAGGTAAGGCTCTGCAGTGCAGTGTGTGGCATTCAGCTGCACGTCGTCCATTTGTATAAATAAGTGTTGTCCAGCTCCCTATTTCTGCACAGTTTTAACAGTTCCTCCTTTAAGGGGTTTTGGCCTAGCAAGTGCTTGGAAGGTCTCCCTGTTGCAGCCTGGTCCTCAGCTGTTCTCTTTGCTCTGTGGCCTGGTAGTCACACAAATGTTTAAGCATTGCCCACGCTGCCAGTGAAACTATGATCCAGCCCTTTTCTCAAGTCCAGATGTGCCTCAAGTCAGTTCACATGCAGTTGCACATTAAAGCTTGCACTTAACTTTTATGGCCTGTGGATGATAAGCCCAAGTGCGCTCATCACCAAGCTCTCATTCACGCCATCTGGGTACATCAAGCATAAGCAGGACGGGGTGTAAGCAGGACGGAGCGTGCTCCATTCCAGTCTGCCGGCGGCTACTTGGAGTTCATTTCTCCCCATGCCCATTGTCAAAGCTTGGCAGCGCTGTAGGCAGAAAGCAAGGCAGACAGCAATAGGCCTTGCTGCCTGTGCCCGCTTCCCTGCTCTCTGCATAGACCTGCCACCTATTTCTTGTCTGTTTTCATGAGCTCTTCTGCACTGATGAGTATGTTGAGTGGGCAGAATAGCACAGCTCCGTTTTCTTGCTCTTGCTGGCTGCCTCTTGCTCACCTGCTTGGTGGGGAACAGGAGCGGTGGTCCCACAAAAAGGACTTTCTGTTCAACTACTATTGGAGCAAAGGGTCGGTGCTGGGGAGCAGCACAGCTCCATATGCCTCTTCTTTCCCTGTATGGGAATGCTAGTGAGCCCCAGTATCACCATAAGTTCTGTTATAACCCAGCTTTGGCTTGGAAAAACACATCGTTCAATCTGAAATTTTCCAGGTCTATCCTCTAGGTTGACAGTTTTACCTTTAGAGAATTTAAGTAAAATTAAATTGAACATCTTTTAATTCAATGAAGACTGAAAAGGAGCATGAATGTATGTACACAGAGGAATGCTTCCTACTTTTAGCCAGCCTTGTATAAGACACAACCATAAATAAAATTGACCTGGGCAGAGTGGTAAATAAAGACTCGAACCTTTTGTTTGATTTTAGATGTTGCACACCCTTGGACACATGCCCATTTACTTCACTGGGGAGATTGGTCCATGGTTGGTAATATGATTTGGTGAGACATACCACAAGATTTAGCCATGAAAGAAATCTGGCCAAACTAGATCTCTGTCAGTGCAGAGATTCCTTCCTTCCTTCCTTTTTGTAAGAAAAGTGAATGATTTGGGGGGAGCGTGGGTGTTCAGGAGATTGCATCTGTGTGATGACTAAAAAAGGGTGTGCATAGGAAATGTATTGTATATATTTTGGGAGGTGGGAGCGATCTTGTTAACCCAATGACTAGTCTGCTTTAGATATCCCTGAATACGAGTCCAAAATTCTCTCACACTCTCTCTAAAGAGAAAAGTGGTAACAGAGAACCCTTTTAGTATTTCATTTCTTACAAGACTGCCAGGAAGCTCTTTGAATAGTTCTGTCTGTTTTTAGCACCTGATATTTGAAGCTGTAACCAGGGCATTGAGTTCAAACACAACTTGAACTATTTTCAAAGGCTTATCCAGCCTTACAACATAACACAGTCATTGCTCCAAAACCTCTTTCATTAAATCGGCCTGTCTTTCTCCCAATTAGGGTAAAATCCTGAACAGAAAAGGATGCTGTCCTATTTGCACTGAAAGTAAGTTCTTTCTTCACATTCTTTAAATTCTTTTTTACTCTTTTGGAGAAAATAAATATAGAAGTATATTTGCTTTTCTGCCTTCTTTTTTAGAGGTGGCTAAAGGGCAGGTGATTATTGCTGACCACAGATTTTGCCTCCTATAAATCTGTAAATTGCCTGGGTATTTTATTTTTATTTTATTTTATTTTTTTCCAAATGACACTGTTTTTGTCAAATCTGAGGTGCTGCTTCTTGAAGAACATAGTTGGCCTGTGAAATTTGTAGGTAATAAAATGAACAAATGAGTAGAGTTGTAACTTTTAGGACTGGGTACCTTTTATATCTGTAAGTAACAGCCCAGCTATGTGTATATATAAACCAACACCTTTGCAGAAGATTTGTGAGAGTTAAAAAAAGGTGTGCAGAAATCTGAAACACAGTCTGGGGCAGCAGTGGAAAGTACAATAGAAAGGTACCCTTCTGTCTGTATAGCTAGTCAGCAAAGCACTTACACAAATACTTATCTTTAAGCTTGTCTGATTTAAGTCAACAGAGAGACCTGTCTTAACTGAAGTTAATGGGATATGGTGTATTTCCTTCAGGACGTTTAAGTATTTTACCAAATAGGGACAGACTGCTAGAATGGGTTTTTATGATTTATAGGAAAGCTTCTGAAAGAAGGAGCAGTTTTTTTAGGAGAGTGTTTCCTATTCTTTTGTCTAAAAGCAAATTGGTTTTGCTGATCAACTCAATTCTGGGTACTCTTGGATTGCACAAATTCCTTATGCTAAATACCTGGTTTTCCACTCTGCAGCTCGATTATTTTGAAACATGTAACTTGTGATAAAATAATTCTAGTTTGCAAGCCTTCTGTATCAAACTGAAATTAAATACAAGTGGCAACCTCAGAAACACTTGAAATAATACCGAGCAGAGGGAGAAATGAAAGAGGATTCGACTGACCAGCAGTTGATTTCATGTTAGCTCAGTTTCAAGGGAGAAGAAATTTGCATAGACTTCTGCTTGAACATGACATATCGTTAGTGTCATGAATTTATCAATCTCTATCTTGCCTCTGTTCTTATGTTTCAGTCTCATTCAACTTTTCTCATACATATTTTTGTAACATGAGAGAGGGAGGAAAATAATGGGGCCAGCCATTCCCCCAAATCACTGGAGACCCTCTGCTTTAAGGGGTTAAAAAGAAGACAGTACAGTGACTCCTTCAGAAAGGCTGCCACACAAGGATGACTTGTGATAATTGTTTCATGGGAGATGGAGGCAAAAAATAGATTTCTTTACAGTAAAAGTAAGTCATCTAGGAACTGCGTTACCTAGAAAGTCAGAACTTCTTGATGATATAAAAGGGAATGGTCATGACTAAAACGCGTGAAATTCAGGGCAGACCGTTATTGCTTGTCCTCCTGCCATGCAGCTCTGGAAAGAGCCTGGCTCCATCTTCCCAGTCACCTCCTTCTAGGTACTGGCAGAGTGCTCGTAGGTCTCCCTGAAGCTTTCAAGATAAATAACCTTGTTCCCGTAGCCTGTTCTTATGGGGCCTGTCTGCATTGCACGGGCTGTATGTGAGGCTGGGAGGCTGGTTACTCCGTGCCCCAGTGGCATGCTCCTGTATTGCACATGAAACAGGGGCGCGGTTTTTTTTGGACAGGTGTCTCACTAGGGACCCATTTAGTATTTGGAGGAGACATGATGCTGAGCTGATTTTAAGCTTTTATGATTAAAGGCCGTTCCCAGCTTTTATCAGCTAGCGTAATCAAAGACCTTAAATATCAACTGTCACACAGCAGTGGTAGCCGTTATTATTTTAACAGTTGCCATTTGCAAGGAACTAATTCCACCTTTGCGCCAGAAGTGCTGTAAATCTCATCATGACATAGGACAGGCAAAAGGCAAAATCATGAGGATTTCAGTGATGATCACTATCTCAGATAGTAATTAGAAAATTTGCTAATTCAGCCAATTTCTGATGAGATAAGATGTACATGCACAGCCCTTTCCCTCACCCACCCACTCGTGTTGATTCTCTCTCCACATATTAACACACCAGACATTTCTGGCGGTCCAGCAGATATTAATTTTCCAAAGTAAAAACAACATAGGAGGTACAAGAACATACTGTACACAGGAGAGCTTTGAGTACAGTTTAAATGCAGCCAATTTCTATGAAGTGGGTCAAAACCAGTCACGTTGTTAAAGGATACACTTTAAACTGAAAAAAAAAAAATCAAAGGATTATTTTTCAAAGGAGTTTGTTACAGCGAGAAAAAGTACCTCGTCTCCTAAAGGGCTGGAGAGTCTCCTTTGTCTACTCTTGCTGAAGTTAACTAAGGTTAGTTTTGGCATGTTGCTGTTTAAGCTCCATGGCTGGTGTACAGTTATCACTAATTAAACACAGTGGTCATACTAGTGGAAAATTCAACGGTTTAGTTTATCCTGCTGTAAAAATGTAATTAAATGTACTCTTTTGGGCTTGATTTAGAAAAATCACCACTGACGTCAATTCCGTAAAGTAGTAATCCTATGTTAGACCAAGGTCATTTTCATATTAAAAAAAGAAAACACTAAACCTGAGTTCAAATAACATTAGCAGACTGCTCTCAACTCCAGACGAAGATGGGAATTTGCAGTGGAGGTTAAATCTTTGTTCTTGACAAAGAAGAATTGATAGGCCTTACTGAAATTACAGCATGCAGTATGAAAGTTTCCTATTGCAACCATATAGACATATTTTAGTCATGCTCAGTAATCGTAACACATTCTTACCCAACTTATTGTGAGTCTTTATGGAGGAGGTTTTTTCAAAATGCACTGCAGTCATCTAGGTCTAGCAGTATACATGATTAATTTTGCAGTGAAGGCTTTTTTGGGGCAGAACATTTAGTTCATCACAAATCATTCTGCGCCTTTTTTAATTGACAAAATGACCAGTGGAGCTAAACCAAACTCCAAAGCATTTGGACCCAGCCTTAGGAGTAAAAGGTTGGTACTTTCACCTGGTCCTGCATCCTTTTTACATGTTTTTATAGAAATACTGAAAAAACTGCTGACTCTTCAAAGGAAGAAGAAAAAAAAGAAGACAAAATGTGGAGTTATGGATTGTAGGTACCTATGAGAGCAGGGAGTGGGAGTGAAGGACCACATAGGCCCTTGCTCATCCTGTTTCTTGTGTTATTTCCTTGCCATGAAGAAATATCTCAAGAAGACTGCAACTGCTTATTTCTACTGGAATGCTGTTCATGATTTACCTCCTCAGCCATTTCAGCCATGACGGTTTACTGTATAAATATGTATTTGGACAAATTGGAATAGCTATTTTATTTATGAAATAGACCATAAAGACTCCTGTGGAGTTTTTGACACCACACCTTGTAATGTGTATTATATCAAGCTGCCCTATGCAGCAGTTATGAGGAAAGTTCTCTATGGCTATGCATTTTTTTACAGAAAAGCTAATGAAATTCTATTATGCGTGTTCTGTAGTTAGTTTTCAAAAGTTAATAATGTGTTCTGTTTGATTTAGGGCTTAATTCAGCATATGGGCTAATTGCATTCAAAGTTTCATTTTATTTTTAAAAAGCTGAGATCTTTTTGAATTATAGATGTGCAACCAGAACACCCTTAACTGGTAAACTTGTATTTTTTCCTCCCTCTCCTTACTTAGAAAGTGTCCAAACCAATTTTAGTTATAATTTAAAGTATATTTTTCTTGGCCACTCTTAACTAGCTACAAGCCCAGAAGAGTGTGACCAGACATCTGGACATCTTGGACTTCAATTGACTGCTCTGATCTCCTGAAAAAATAAAACAAGCTATTCCATGAGTACCAGAGCTAACAGAGCCTGGTTTCCTATGGATTTGTGTCCCATTTCCTTTATATCCCAACAAATAATAAACCCAGCTAGAGACAATATATCCTGTGGCTGCTCTGGAGCTACAAGTGTGCTGATTGCCCAGCCAATATGCTCATGCTCTCTGGCTGGTCAGGATGTGTGTGCTGACTGTCTGTCTGGCCTCCACCAAGCAGTATATATATCTCGCCTTTCTAGAAAGGCTAAATACTGTCTAGGGGGGTAGGGGCATTGGGTGGAAGGCAGAAAGGTACTTTTTGGCAACCACTTATTTCAATAAGTGGTTCTTACCTTTACTTGGCGTACTACTTGCTAGAAATGAGTTATCTTTCAGACTTTTATCTGTCCATAGTGACCAAAACAGGTAGTCATTTCATAAACTTCCCCCCATCTCCCCCCCTTATGAGAGCATGTTAAAATTTGGGAAATGCTAAAACGTTCTTTTCCTTGCTGTTGCTCTTTCAGCTTCTTTTTTTGTACAGATAAAAAACAGTGCTCCTTGCCCCCAGTTACCTTTCCCGTTAACTTCTCTAATGAAAGTCAATATTTCATTTGAATTGGGAACATGATTTGCAAATGCAAGGAAAGTTTGCCAAGAGTTCGATAGTTTTCACTGTAACACCTAAATACTATTATTATTAGTTTGCAAGCAAGCTGTAGAGCCTTAGGTGGGAGCTGAGAAAACTGCATGAATCACTCATGTAGTTTAAGATTGTCAAATGTAAAAGTGTGAAGTCCATATTTAGTTGCTTAAAAAACAAATGGGAAAACTGCTGAGCTCCCAGAAGCTTTTACAAAAGCCAGAAGTTTTGAATGCTGATTTGGGAGCCTAAATGCAAGGTTTCCAAAAGAGGTTTAGAGGTGTTTGCAGCCAGCTCCCAATAATGTTTAATCAGAGTTGAGTGCCTAAAGCTCTTTGAAAATCACAGCCTCCTGAACGTAGCTCTGGGGCTCTCCTTTGAAAAGCCTGTGTTTTTCAGGGACAGGGAGGGAGTGGGTATATTTGTCCTCATGTGCGTATGTAGATGAGCGAAAGAAGACATCAAAGATCATGAGGTTTAAAACAAGCAAGGGGAAGTGGTTCTTCATGCACTTTACCCAAGGATGTCGTGGATGCTAAAAACATTTTTGGGTTCAAGGGGAGACTGGAAAAATTCACACAAAAGAAGTCTATCAAAGGTTACTAAATAAAGAGAAACCATGTCTAACTCAGGAAGTTCCTAGGCTGAAAATAGTTGGAGGTTGGCAAAGTCTTAGAGGGAAGTATAGTATATAATTGCCTTTTTCTAACCATGCCCTAGACAGCTGATAGAGACAAGGAGTGTCTGCAATAAGCTGGGAACAGTTTACTGTATGAAAAAAAGGGAAGGATCTTCACCCATGCCTTGTTAGCACAAGCTAGCAAAATTCATACTCAAGCATTGGGGAACGTAGCTTTGGTGATGCAGCAACACCTCTCCATCTGTTATGTCCCAACAGAGGAGCAAGTCACACATGAACCTAACTAGAGAACCGGTGCTTCCAATAGATTTCAAAAACAGCCAAGCAGAAAGACTGCTTTGTTTCAGAAGGGGGAAAAAGAGGCAAAAAAAAAAAAAAAAAAAAAAAAAAAAAAAAAAAAAAAAAAAAAAAAAAAAAAGAAGCAGCAGCAAACCGTAAAACATGATGTGATTGAAACTCTCCCAAAAGGAAATAAACAGCAACCCAAAACCTAAAAATGGCAGGAACTCTTTTCATGTTGCCTGTCTTTTGCAGTCTTGTTACACCCAGTATTTAAGGTTTATTTCTAGGCCAATCAGTCCTTCTTACTGGCAGTGCCTGAGTTATTGCACACACTCTTGCAGGGTGTGGATTTTTTTTTAAATCCACAATTTTAGCAAACCTTTCAAGAATGTTTTATGCAGTGATATCAGAGAATCAATTATTCAGGCTGTTTTTAGGTAGATTTTCCCTCCCCCATTTCCTTGGTTATTAAAGAAAACAGTGAAATTTGGATCAGACATTTAGCTATCCAGTCCAAAATACATTCTTTTTTATTTTAACTGCACTGCATCAAGTTGACATATGATGTGACACGATGTAACATAACATAAACCAACATTACTCTGCATAACACATTAGAAATTAAAAATAAATATTTCCTTTGGATCCCATTGGTACTATCAATTTTACTTGCACATCTCTAAATTATGTTTGTTCCTCTCATGTCTTGCCTTTTAGCCACTTGCTTAGGTGAAGAACCAGCCTCCCCCTCCCGCTAAGTTAGGTAGTAACATGTATAACATCTCCACATTCTTGGCCTCTAGAAATGCAGCCAAAACCCAGTTCTCTTCTGAAATCTTCACTGATGTTTGAGCTGATTTTTTTTTGATAATTTCCTTGTTTTCATAAAAGTTGTCAGTATGTTTGAAGAAAAAGTAAAGCTTGAAAAAATGAAATAGAATATGAGCAGGTAATAAAATGTATCTCAATATTCATCATGCAGATGATTACATGAGTACATAAGGAATTCAGAAACAAGTTGGTATGACTTAGTAACGGTAAAGTCAGCTGGTCTCCATATAAAATCTATGGATTTTTTTCCCGTTGGTAAAAGTTACATTGGTGCTTAAAAACTATATGGTTCCTGCCGATTGAAAGTCAGTCTTTTTATGGACTTTGGAAAATGGTTCTTGATATCCTCACTGGCATCAGTGAAGAAAATGAGACTCACAGAAGTGTACATTTTTAAAAGCACTCTCTTATCTAAGTGTCTTGGTTTTCAGGCTCTGCTTAAAGTCCTTTGGGCCTGATTTCCAGAGGTGTTGATCAAATGTGGTTCATTTTGACTTCTAATGGAGCTGTCAACATGATGTCCTTGAGAAATCGGAACTTTTGGTCCCTAATTGCCAGACATAATAAAGAGGCATAATAATGATGCCAAGACTAGTTAGTGGCTTAGCTAAAGCAGCATGCATGTGGCAATTTAGGGGTAAGTACAAATCTCCCAGGTACCAGCTCTATGATGGCACTGCACCACGCAGTGAGGGAGACTGAGGTTAGACTTTAGGAAGACTTTACTCTCATTAAGGACAGACGAGCACTGCAACAGGTTGTGGGATGCAGCTGTGGAGTTGCTGTTACTACTGCTCTTTAAGAGCAGGTTAGGTAAACGTCTGTCAGGAATAACATAGGTACAGGTGATTCTGCATTACAGATGGAGAAGGAAGAGGTAATGTCCCCTGGTGTCTCCTTCAGCCCCATTTTCTGTGTTTCCATGTAGGTATCCTTGGATGCTTTTTAACTACAGCTAGAAAAACACCAGAAACATTATAGCTGTTTTAGCATAGCACTCTGCCTAGGCTGAAAAGCCCTGCTGAGAAAGGCGTATTGCATAGTCAGAGCTGCGTTGCACTCCACTAAAGGAATTCCCTGCCTCTTCTTTATAACATCCATGTGTCTTTCTTTTTTGTAGGTTTGAATTTGCTTTTTCAGGGGAGCCATTATTGGATAATTTTTTTTCAGTTAATAAATTGTATTCCCTGTTTCTCTCCCCTCCTTTATTGGTGGGTTTGGTTTTTGGTTGGTGTGTTGGGTGTTTTTTTTTTTCTTTTTTGTGATTGATGCTGTTCACAGCTTTCTGATTACTGAGTCAAATTTTATTCATGCTCCAAGCCCTCCCCCTAAACCAGGCATCATCTTTCAAAAGCAGCCTCAGCCCATGGGTATCCAGCTGGCAGTAGCAGTGTGCATTTCTCTGCCTTGAGACTACTTCTTCCAGGAACAGCAGCAATGAGATGTGGTTAGGACCTATTGTTATACCAGAAGGCTGCAATGCAAATAAATTTGCTGCTCTCTTTGATTGCAAGGCAATTCAGTCAATTGCTGGGTAACTGCAGGGTAACTCAGCATCATTGACATGAGGGGGGAAACGTTCTGCCTATGAGCTGCAGCTTCTCTGACCAGTGTATGGCTGCAAACTTCAATAAGATTTCTCCCTCAGTTTGTACTGATGCAAATGACTGGTAGAGATACAATGCCCTTAGGTAGTCATTGCATCATGTTGGTTGCATGATAGCAACGACTACTACAAATTAGTTGTGTATAGACAACATATATGACAGCTTGTAACACTAAATAAAGATGCTGGTTCTAGAGGTAGTTTGGGGAAAAAACATAGATATGCCTAGTTTATAAATGTAAGATATTTATAAATGTGTCTAGGTAAAATATGGGCAGAATCAGGTCCTGGTAAAGTGGTTTGAGGGCTTTCAATTTCAGGGGATCACCCCTGCCTAACTGGGGACATGAAAATTATCCTCAAAAACATACATGTGATGTTTTGAATTCTGCTTCTGTTAGTGGATTAGGCTTTGCTCCCACAACACAACTTAAAGGTAGGAGTTCATCCCAGGGGAATTTAACTCTCCGAGAGCAATGTCTGTAGCCTTAGATACTTGGTTGCACTCCCAGTGCTGGCAGCAGAGAGACAGGCTCCTCCAGAGAGTAATTCCCCATGTATTAAAAGAGATAGCTAAAACTGATGAGATGAAACACTTTCTAGTCACATCTGTTTCTCTCTGACAGTGAGAGGGAGACTGGATGAATTGCTTAGACATTTCATGTTTGGAAAGCTGAAGCTAGGTGGGAAGGCTCCCATCACACATCTCCAAAGACGTGTTGGCGCTGGAAGCCCAAGGCTCTGCCTGCTCTGATATCATGAGTGGGGCTTGTATTTTCTGGAAATGAAATAATTTGAAGAATTTCACAGACATGTAATAACCTAAGCTGTTCAGGTGGTACATTATGTTTAAGGGACAAACACGTTGGAAGGTGTATCTTTGGTTTCTAGCTACAGGTTAGCCTTCCTGTGCTGCCCCAGGGATTGATTGGCCTTTAGTTGCCACCGGCTTTGGGAAAGACTTCTACAAAAGTCATGAAGCTTCTGTTTCTCAAAAATATATATTCCTGGTGGGCGTCAGCCAGATCTGCCCCATAGGGCAGATATAGGTTAGGTGAGAGCAGCGTCCTCTAAGTTCTTATCAACTGTTTTTTTCAAACTTTGATTGATCCTGATATGGCGCTTTTGTTTCTCACTCACCTGCAGAGCCTGGAGTTTGCACTGTATTTGGAGACCCTCACTACAACACTTTTGATGGACGGACATTTAACTTTCAGGGAACATGTCAGTACGTTTTGACGAAAGACTGCTCCTCCTCTGCCTCGCCCTTCCAGGTGCTGGTAAAAAACGATGCCCGTCGGACCCGTTCTTTCTCCTGGACAAAGTCAGTGGACCTTGTGTTGGGCAGAAGCACTATCAGCCTCCAGCAGCACCTCACAGTGAAGTGGAATGGGACCCGCATCTCACTACCTTTCGAGACACCGCAATTTCAGATCGATTTGGATGGTTATTTGCTGAAAGTGACAACCAAAGCAGGTAGGGCAAGTGTGCATGTGTGTGTGTCTTCTCCCTGAAGAACTCCTCAAGTGCAACATGCACAGCAGTTAGTAAAAAAGCATGATAACGGTAATAAATGTAGTTATAACTCTTTAGAGATCTGAAGAACCTAAAGTGCTTTCAAAATCCCTGCAGCCCACAAGCAGAGATCCCAACTGTGAGTTTGAAGTCTTTGCAGAACATTTGCTAAGCTCTTTTTCATACTGCAGCTGACAGTTTACTGTCTGCATAGATGAATGTGCCATGATTTTTTCTTCCTGTAATTTGCAAGTGGCTTATGCAGGGTCATTGTTTGATGCTTATAGTTAAGAACAGAGAGGAGATCAGTTCTTAAACATAACATGCAGTTTTTTTCCCAGATGCAGCAACATACCTTACAGTCAGTCTAAGTCAGCAATTATATAAAATTATAGTTACTAATGGCTGGAATGAGTTTAAGTTGTCAAATTACGGAAACATTTCAGTGGGGCTACCCAGTGAAATGGAGGTCCTAGTTTTAAAACCAAGGCCTAATTTGCTGTTCAGTGTTGTCTTGTTGGGCTTGCTCTGTGCTTGAGTAAGAGTGTCTGCAAGGAACAGAGAGCCCACAGCACCAGAAGCAAAAGAAAATCAGAAACTTCAGAAAATCTGGTACCTTATTTGTAGAAACAGGGAGGGGAGAGGGCAGACTCTCAGGTCTTTTGAGTCCTAGAAAATACATTAATTGTCAAAATGCTAAACCAGAAGACTTACAATTGTTTTGATAAACTGTTCTGAAGCTATACTATCCTTGCATAGATAAATACTGAAGGGAAGTTTAAAACTTTCTCATTAGCATGTGTTAGGTATTACTGTAGCCCTGAGAGATTTCGCTTACACAGTGAAGCACTGTTTCAGTGAGAATACTATTTACTGTTAATTCAATTAAATGCCATGTGAAAGCAGTGAAACAAATCTTTCTTATGAAGTGATATGGTCACAGGCGTGACACATAGTCATTATCTGGCATAATTTTTTTCAAGGGGGACACTAGCACCCACTGTTGAGCTGAGAATTTAGACACCTGTTTGTATAGCCCCTGGAAATGTAAGTCTGCATAATGTGGATCCCAGCTCTGGGCTCATTCCTCAAAGTGGCAATGCAGATTTTTGTGGCTGTCTGTAAAATGCACACAAGTTGACCATTATTCACAACTTCTAATTAAAAGCATCTTGAGGGTTTCTCTTTGCAGCCAGCTGAACGCTATGAATTCTGGTGATGTGGATTTCATTAGCCAACCACAGGCCAGGGAAAGGTTTTCCATCGAAGATGAATGACAGCTAATCCTGCTGCTATTCCGTTTGTCTCTGGTGCAAGCTTAATAAATGACTACACACATCCTTGTCCATGTGTTGGCAGAGGGAGTGCAAACATGGCATATGACAACATACCAAACAGTGTGTAATCACTGCAAATTATAGCCTAAATAATTCCTCCTCTTAACGGAGCAGGATCAGGTTTCTCTTGCTGAACGCAGCATGATGGGCCAAGTCCCGCTTTCCTCAGCACGTAAGGCCTGGAAAGCAGCAGAACGGCATGGCTCCATTTTGCTGGGAGAGGAGAAGCAGCAGAGAGGCTGTAGAGAGGAGGAATGTGCTGAGTAGAACTAGTTTAAAGATAAACTTTTTGTTCCACAGGAAATTCTGAGTGCTGGGGGGGGGAAAGGAAGAATATTCTCTGTTTCAGAATGAAACATGGATTTTTTAAAACATATATGCTTTCCCAGTGTAGGCTGAAAAAAGAGGGGGCGGGAGGAAGTAGTGAAAAATAAGCAAAACCACTGCTCTAGAAACAAAATTCAAAGTACAATTGGGCTGGGAAGTGGAGGGTCTGGTGCTTACAGCTCAGCCAGCATTCCCACGGCTTTTGGTTTTCCTTTTGCAGAGCTGGGAGCTGAGCCCTGGATAGAACAGGGGAGCCCAAAGCTTCAGGAAGCCTTGTGGTCCCTGGCTACAGGGCAATCTGCATGGCAGGGCTGTCCTGGAGTTGCATACCCTGAGAGTCCAGGCTTCCAGGCAGCCCACCAGGCGAGCTGGCAGGAAACCAGCTTGGAGCCTTGCCTGTGCTGTGTTGGAAGTTCATTGAATCCGATATGTCTCCCTGAAGAATTTCAGTTCTGATGAATTGGCATTTTCCAGTGAAAACCTGTTTTGTTGCTAAATTCCTCACCAGCTGTAACCCTGGATGCCATGCAGCAGCAATTCTGGCACCCTGCACTTGCAGGTACTTCGTCATGCGTGTGGTTGGGACGGTGTTGAGTCCTTGTCCAAAATCTGTGTGTTAAAATAACGAGAGAGCAGAGGGTCACAGGGCTGGTGTTACTTATCTGTCCCTTTAGTGCAGGAGCATTTTTTTTGTTGTTGTTTTTTCTGTGCTGATCTTTTGCACAAACCTGCTTTGCTGAGGTGTTCTGTACCACTTTGGCACTTAATCTTTGGGGAACAGTAGTCTGCCAGTTCTCGAGGATGCCTTTACCGTGAAAAATCATGCAGAACAACTGATGGGAGTTCCCAGCATGGGGAACTCAGTGACTGATGTGCATAAATCCAGAAGGAATTTTTTTTAAATGCAGTAGAGCACACAGTGTGCCAAGTTAAGAAATCAAGTAACAAGTTGGTCAAGCATTCTTCAAAGAAAGGGGAAAATTGGAAAACCCTAAAAAGTAACTCAGAGAATATTCCTTTTCTGCACATCCCCAGATGGGACAGATGCTGCATCCTTTGGCTTCACATCTCTTGGATTCTGATCCTTGTCCAAGTGAACGGGAAACTCATCCATTTTGGGGGGAGGGGGGGCACCAAGAAACTCTTCCAAACAATTTCTGTCTGCCAAGGAGACCATTTCAAACATCGCTCCATAGCATAATCCCGTCTGTCACAGGTCTTGTTGGTTTACAAAAACCAACTGAATTTTCTCGTTGTGAACAAACAAAAAGGCACACACTGCACAGTGTGATCAGGCTCCAACAAAATTATCATGTGTAGGAGTAAATAGCCTTTCTCATTACCCCAAAAGGGAATAAGCTCCATTATGGACAGAAACCTTTAGGCTGTTCATCAAAGCTAGAAATTACCCTTCCATCTGAGCAATTACAGCAGAATATAGTGTAATTAAACAGTACCCAGCTAAGAGGAAATTACATCCTTTTGTGGATGTTAAACTGGGAGTTAAACTGTGAGTCTCTTGAATCAAATCCAGTAATCAAAGCAGGTATCTTTAGATTTTAAAAGGTGCATTTTTATATGCTGAGATGACAAGTCATAATTTTGTTATTCTTGCCTTCATACCTAGAGTTCACAGAGCAATGTGTAACAAGTAGATTAACTTAACTCTCACAAAGGACACACAAATATTCAGGATAATTTTAGAGTTAACGTTTCATAATGAATGTGAGTGGTTTCACTGGAATTCAGTAAGTCTTGGCTTGAGAAAAAAAGTTGTAAAAGGAAAATTAAGATAGAATCACTTGCCAGTCTTTTGTGACTCTGCTTAAAGTCAGCAGCTTCTGAGGGAGTTCGTTTGGGGAAGAAGTTGAACACCGCCCTGAAAACCGGAGTTATTTTCTGAAGAGAACTGTCTGAGAATTTGGACCTTGATGCTTTAGGCTTTGAAAAAGTTTATAGGAGTCTCAAGTCTGAAAAAAACCTTAGTTTATAAGTTAATGGCAAGGTTTTTCTAAATGCCAGCACGGCAGTATTAATCTGGTGTCTGTAAATCAAGCTGTGTTTTATTTTGTTTGGTGTTGTCAGAAGCAAAGACAGCTGGAATTTGAATTTGTCCAGCAATGATAATGTCTGAAGCAGCTTAAAAGGCAGCTTTCCTCCTTGCCACTGTGCTGGCCTTGTTAACAATTGTAGTCTTGCACAATTTCTCAGTTGGCTGGGTGTAAAGTGCCTTTGGAGGAGGACAGAGTGGCCCTATCTGTGCTGGGTTTATTAGATAATTTGAAACTGCTTTCAGGCATAGTCAGCTCAGGACCTACTTGTGCCGTCATTGTTACCCTATACTGATACAAAACCATGACGCAATAGACTGTAGTGAGCGGTGACACAGAATTATCTGCACAACCTTGCTGAGTAAATTGTTGCCCAAACTCTTGGTGACACAGTGTAAACCACACAAGCGCCAGGACAGTATCTATCGATGGCAAAGGACCCCTTCTATAGACATAATTGCCATTTGAGCCTCACCCTGTTTCTCTGTGGAGCGGGTACGAATTGTCATAGGAGACAATGGGATGTGTTGCTAAAGGAAGGGTTCCAGCTTTGAACTGAGTCACTGGTATGTTAATTACTTACATGAGGATAGGGCAGGATTTGGATCACATAGTGACAAGCACTGATTTACAAGAGGAAAGGGTGGTGCTAAGCCAGCCCACACAGCAAATGTAGAAAGCTGGAGTGAAGCCCTAGTCCAGCACCGCAGAGTTATGCTGTTTGGTATTCTTGGCCAGGCAGGGAGAAGAGGGTAAAATCTGGATTATCCTATTTAAAAGCAGGTTCCTGTGTTTATCCTAAACTAACTGCTGCACACAGGTACGTTATGGGAATAAATTAACATCAGCAAAATGATTTGTCACCTTCAGATGCAGGGTTAATGCAGAGATGTGAAGTAGTAGCATTCATCAGATATTGGAAATACTTAAAAGAAAGGCCATTTTTGGGTAAAAGTTAAGCAGCAGTAATTTTTTGGTGTTGTTTTTGTCCCATATGATACTGAAATTGCTTTCCCTTATGAGATACATGTTTACTCCTCAGAGGATGGATTTCATTTAATTTACAATCACCCAGGTAAAAACTAGAAGTTTAGTCTCCACCTGATCTCTGTGCCCTCTACAGTATCACTGGAAACAGAAAGGCATTCAGAAGGTAGTTTATTCCCTCTGCGTTAGACACCCATGTTGTGACCCAGAGCTGTGTATTTCTCTCCATGAAAGAGAGGGCCCAGACAGCTGACTTAAGCTGGACACCTAGCTTTTAGATGGGTACAGACAGATAAAATGGATTTCACCCACGGAAAGCAATTTTGAGTATGATGTACTAGAAGTGCAAAACCTTACTGTAAAACAGATTGTAGCAGAGCACTTACATCCCAGCCGCTAAATGAAAGTTAGATGTTTACCATCATTCTTCAGTGTTGCTGACTTACAAAGACAACTTCAAAAGGTTAGTAATTAACATCTTTTGAATGAACAGTTTGAATCCAGATCAGAATGCCTTCTTACAACAGTTTTACCTGTCTGACATCTCTTTGTGGTCATCTTTTTAACTCTCTTTATCCACACAAAATAAGGTACTTGTATTGGAACAGTTGGGTTCACCAAAAAGAGTGATCAGTGTCAGCTTTGCAGGCGAGAAAAGGATGTTTTCTATAATGTGGTCACTGGTGGAGTCTCATAGTGCATGGACACCTTTGTATGCCCATGACCAAGTGCCGGGTCCTGCACTTGAGTCACAACAACCCCATGCAGCGTTACAGGCTTGGGGAAGAATGGTTGGAAAGCTGCCTGGCGGAAAAGGATCTGAGGGAATTGGTAGACAGCTGGCTGAATATGTGCCATCAGTGTGCCCAGGTGGCCAAGGAGGCCAACAACATCATGGCCTGTATCAGGAATAGTGTGGCCAGCAGGACTAGGGAAGTGATTATCCCTCTGTACTTGGCACTGGTGAGGCCCCACCTTGAGTACTCTGTTCAGCTTTGGGCCCCTCACTACAAGAAAGACATTGAGATTCTGGAGCATTTCCAGAGAAGGGCCACAAAGCTGCTGAGGGGTCTAGAGCACAAATCTTACGAGGAGCAGCTAAGGGAACTGGAGTTGTTTAGCCTGGAGAAAAGGAGGCTGAGGGGACACCTTATCGCTCTCTACGACTACCTGAAAGGAGGCTGTAGAGACGTGGGTGTCAGTGTCTTCTCCCAAGTAACAAGTGATAGGACAAGAGGAAATGGCCTCAAGTTGTGCCAGGGTACATTTAGGATGGATATTAGGAATAAATTATTCACTGAAAGGATTATCAAACATTGGACCAGGCTGCCTGGGGAAGTGATTGAATCATCATCCCTGGACGTATTTAAAAGATGGGTAGATGTGGTGCTTAGGGACATGATTTAGTTGTGGTTTTGGCAGTGTTAAGTTGATGGTTGGACTCTATGATCTTGAAGGTCCCTTTCAACCTAGATGATTCTATGATTCTATGACCTATGCAATGGGTGACAATGGCTGAATTTCTGGCCCCCCTGCGAAATCAGCTAGAAATTTGCCCTAGCAAATTCAATTTGCGGAATTTTGCAAGAGCTCTATTTCAATGCTGAGAGTAGCTGTGCCTTGGCTCCAAAATTTTAGGATAACCCCACTCATTAGCAAGGATGAACAAAAACAAACAGAGAGAGGCATGAGTGTATTGTAATTGACTGTGATTTAAGAAACACTACACTTGCCAGAGGCACTTACTACTGGGAGGTATATAGAAATGTAACAACATTATCAGAAAGAAGCCAATGGCTTTGTTTAGGTTCCCATGAACACTGTTTCACAAACATAAGGCACGGTTTGTTATCCTCAATTTCTTCTCTTTTTTTTTTTTGTGTGCATGTTTTTGTGTCATCTCTTTATTAGGCTTGGAAATCTCATGGGATGGAGACAGTTTTGTGGAAGTCATGGCTGCGCCGCATCTGAAAGGCAAACTCTGTGGTCTGTGTGGCAATTACAACGGGCACAAGCGAGATGACCTGATTGGGGGGGATGGGAATTTTAAGTTTGATGTGGATGACTTTGCCGAATCCTGGCGTGTGGAGTCCAATGAGTTCTGCAGCCGCCCGCAGAGAAAACCTGTGCCGGAGCTCTGTCATGGGACAGTCAGGGTGAAACTCCGAGCTCACCGGGAATGCCAGAAACTCAAAGCGTGGGAGTTTCAGAGCTGTCATTCAACAGTGGATTATACCACATTTTACCGGTAAGTGTGACTTGCTGCAGAGGGATATAGTAAGTTACTGTGTGAGGAGAAAAACCACACAGTTGGCCCAATTTCAGTAGTGTTTGAGCACATGCTTTGAGCTGCTTTTGCTAAGAATTAATATACAGGCCTAGAGTTACATTATGGTGAGTTTTTCTGAGTCAGGGATCAGAAGAAGATGGTCCTGAGCTAATAAAGACCCGAGCAGCCAACAGGGAGAAGGGCAGGCAGGTTTGTGATCACCTAGAGAAAAAGTACTTTTTGAGACTGAGGAGAGCAGGGGAAGAGGCTTCAAAACACTTTGGTAAGGTCTTTCTGATTTCAAAGTCAGCTGTAAAGTTGAGGCTGACTTTAATTGCTATTGCTTGTGGTCCAGAGAAGTGTGTCTTCTCAGGGAGCATTTTGAATATTACTTAATTAAAGTAGGGATATTAAATATTACTTGTGCCTCTTGGATGGTGTAGTTTGTGGGTTGAGAGTTTGAAAGGAGAGAGTTAACAAAAAGTTCAGTGCATGCCCATCCTGCCCTGGGAGCAAAGGAAGACAGACGAGGATCTAGAAGCCCTGACTGAGTGAATTATTCAAGTTTTTTTATCTTTAAAATGCTTCCAGTCTAAACCACAGAGACATCGTTTCTGTTCTTTAATTGGCGTGAGTTTATTTGCCCCTTACTCAGTAAATAAAATTAGCTTTTCTTTTGATTGCCTGACATAAAAGATAAAAGCAAGCCTAGTCACAGTTGTATGATGGCGGATGGAGCTGCCTGATCTCTGTGCTCCCAGCTTTCCCCACTTGTGCACATCTGCTGAACTATGGGGCTTATTAGGAAAAGCTTTCTACAATGACTCCATTTCCCTTATGAATTGCCTTCCCTCTTCTTTTATAATGAGACAGAAAGACTTTTATCTACCCCAGCAGAATACGTCTGGGACTGGGATATGCTAGAAGACACACAGCTTGGCTTGTAGTCTATGTGCTTCTGCATTTAGTTTGCTATAGTGTATCCCTGTGCTAGGAGTCTGGCAAAGAGTGAAGATTATATTGTGTGCAGGTTATAATACTTTATCTTTTCCAATGGCTGGAGGCACAGCAAAGAGCACTAGAGATGCTAACACACACACACACACACACACGGTCTGTTGAATGCATTTCAGCAACATTCCCATCTCACTTCCACCATCCTCTAAAGGTAAGTGATGACAATGCAAATGGAAAACAGGCACAGAGAGATTTGTTTCATTTTGCAGTGGATTTTTTGTCCCTTTTTTAAAGTAGCTCATGATTAATTTAGTGCAATACGCTTCCTGACACCACAGCAGAAAATGATTTATAATTTGGCTACAGCAGCCAGAAAAAAAATCTCTACATGCTTGCACACAAGAATTACCGTAGAGCATTTCTGTTCCTTTAAAATTATGTCTTCTATTTGTCTGGGAAAAACAACAAAATCCAGCAAGTATTTAATATGATTATGTCCTTTTGTAGAAAAGTCTATTTTTCCCCTAAGGAAACTTTATGTTGAAATGACCATCATATTCTGTCAGAAGTAGCTGTTCATTTGCTTCCATTTAGATGTTGCCAGCTCTTAGAATGCTCAGCTCCCAATACAGGAATCAAGGATAATATATAAATTAAAATCAAATAATGGTGTTTAGTAGAATGCTACTTCTTGTTAGAAACTGACAAAGTTGTAGCAAGCAATATATTCAGTGACCATGACCATTTTTCATACTTTTCATACAATTCCCACAAGTAGATAATGATTATGATACACACATTCAAGAAATTTCTGGGAACCTTTCTAACATAAATCTTTACATATATAAATATGTGTGTGTGTGTATTTAAGTATAAATATGAGTACTTGAGAGATTTTCATTTTTCGTTAATTTTTTTTCAAAGAACCTATTGCTGGTGATGTACTTTTGCAGAAAATTTAAATTACCATTAAAAAAAATTTAAATTAACATTTAGAGTTTTTTACTGAGGTTTTCTTAGAAAAGCATATTTAGTCAATGTTCTCTAATTTCAGGCTTGGTTTACCTAAAATGTTTCCAATTCTACTTTTCTGACTATAAACAAGATCCTAGCAGTAAGAGAAGTGAAGAGGCAGAACGGTGCGGTCAGGTTCTTTCATTTTTCTATTCATCTGCTCTTTGAATTGAATAGCTTCTCAGTTTTTACTCTCCATCATTACATATTATGGAATTTTTCCATTTGAAATACTGCATTCTCAAGAGTTAACCTTTCTTGGTCATTCTCGCCTATGTTATCAACATTGCCTCATTTTCATTATGCTGCTCTGGTAGTGACCTGCTGTTAATAAGAATTCTCAGAAATAGAAATAAACTCAGCATTTCAGGAACATTACGAATTAGGGTGTGTTTTCTCCAAATACCAAAAAAGGCAGCGAACAATGCATTGCAAACATTTGTCTGACACTGTGTTACTGAGGAGATTTCTGTGAAGATGTCTCAAATTCATTTTAAGTCTCATTCTTTTTACAGCTGGAGTTTCTCCTTTTGTTAGCCATCCAAAAAACATATACAGCAAGATTGTCATGATTGTTAGGTGAAAAGGATATGGTTAATGTTTTAAAGGGTAGAATTCTAGCTGCATGGTTGTGGGGTGAAGAACAGCTGACTCTTGAGCAGACCTTGATAGATCTGTGACACCTTAGGAGAAATGGTTGTGCACCTTGCCCTTAACCCTTTTTTTGATGTTGTGGCATTGGTGACTTGCGAATCTCTGCAAAGTGGATGGTAGAAGAAAGCACAATATAAGCACACAAGAAAGGATTTTGAAATAGTCCAGACTGCAAACTAACAATTTTAGCATCTAATTTTACACCACTCTCTTAATTCTTTGTTTTGTAACTAGACACGTTTTATGGGCTTTTAATTGTGGTTTGTTTTGTTTAGTTTTGGGTTGGTATTTTTTGTTTGTCTTTAATGCATTGCTAGTTGTTCAGTACTCATGAGTAATACTCTAAAAATAACCCTTAGGGTTGAACTTTATGGAGGCAAGTTCATTAAGCAGTGAAACGATTTTGAATTTCCAGGAGATTTTGGTAAAGCCTGGATGACAAAGAGATTAGCAGTGACAATTATCACCACTGCCACTTGTCTATTTTGATATTTTAATATGGCTAAGCCTCCTGGATTATACCTTGCCAAAAAAAGAAAATGTTACCAAGGCTACTCAGTAGCAGGTTTTTACAGAGGATACTTTGGCCATGTATGCCCTAAAGCTTGCACTCAGATTCCTGAAGCTGCTCTTCACTATAAGCAACACTAAAAATAGGTGATACCATCTGAATTTCTCATGCTGTGGTTACCAGAAAAGCTCTATCACATTATCAAGAAATATTATGGTACTATTTCAGCTCTTGGATGGAGCTTTGGGGAGCTTAGGTGACTTGAGGAAGGAGAAGAGGACTTTCTGTGCTCACCAAGCCCTACTACGTGGATTGTGTATCTTTGGGCTGTGATGGAGCAGGGGCCTGGAGGTGACTGCAGTCCCCGTGAGACCAGGGAGCACCATGCCGTGGGAGGCAGGTCCCTGGTGTGCCCCCATGCCTGCTTTGCTTGGCCGTGGCTGACACCTCTTGGGAGCCTCCTTGGGAGGCACAGAAGTGGGCAGCCCCAAACAGGGGTGTGGGGACTGCAGTGAGAGAGGCACAGCAATGCTGCTCAATACAGGGACAGGTTGGGCTGCAGGAGGCACCGTAATGGAAGGCTCGACACTAATACTCCTAGTAACACCTGATCTTATAAGCATCCATGGCTTTCTAGTAGGTTTTTTTAATAAAATGGATTTGGAGCATCGCATCAATATGATATCAGTATATCGCCCATCTCTAATACACCTACACAGCAGCTGAGTTCATAAATGACTAGTTACACATTGCTCAAGACTCTCACTACTGCTGTAATTTTGGGAAAAATATTCAATGTCTTGCTTTTGTCATGCAGTAAATTTCCCCATTTGAGATTGGAAAATTTGTGCTTCTAATTCTTGAGACAAGTCTTTTTATTATTATTACTCTTCCTATTATTATTATATATTTTTGTTATTGTTGCTATTATTATTATTGCATTTTTAACAGACAACAGCGTACCAAATAATTGGTTATTCTTTTCTCTTTTGTAATTGTCCTAAGAGGTATGTTTTCCTCTTAAACACTTGAATTTAATCGTATTCAGTATTTTATGGCAAGCAGTAATTAACATAGTAATAGCCTCATTTGTTTGAATCTGTTAATCAAATACATTCAGAAATTGCAGTCTACTTTATTGCAATTCGTGTCTTAAAAGTTGCTTGTGACTGTGCTGACATTACTCCATCTTAGCTTTCAGTTAATCAGCTAATGAATTTCTTTTTCAGTTAACCAATTAACTTTATGCAGTTAACTACTGCAGTCTTGCAGTTTTTCTGAAAATTTCCACTTAACTAGAGCAAATATTATTGTTTAGAGTTAGAGTATAAATTGCAATGTTGTGTAGTCCATCAGCTGCCTGTTATTAAGTTTGACAGATATGCCATGAATGGCTGCAGAGAGCATGTGAGCCATAGCATTGCTAAGTTAATTACAAGCTCTATTTAAAAGACGGGCATCAAGAGTTTGTGGCTTTGAAGCAGAAGGTTTGAAGGTTTTTTTCCCTTGTTAACAATGATGTCCTACAGCTGTAAAATTCATGTGGTTATGGCCCTATGTTCACTCAGCAGGATGGTGCAAAAGAAATGTAGGCTGAAGAATGACTTCAGAAAAGCCCATTTCAAGTGTTAAAGGAATGGCTGGAACTGGGACCTCTGGAGCCCTCTGTGTGCTGCCAAGGGTGCGTATTGCAAAATTCTCCCCATGAGGTTTTCTGGTCCTGGCTGTGCATATGGGCACAGCAGTCGCCTGTGCTGCTCCAGCTGAGACCGGGCTGCTCCAGGGCTTGTCGGTGGTGTAACTGAAGGGCGGCTGTAGCTCTGACTGCTCACCAGGGTGGCTT